CTTGTCATCACGCGTGACCTAGCGCCATACCTCAGGCTGATCCAATGATCTGACATGGACCCAGTTATCGACCATGTATTACTCTGTGCGGCGGCTATCCACCAACTAACTTAAATACTTACAACAAATAAACGGTAGGTGTTTGAATGAAGCTGTTTCTTATGCGAATACAAATCGATTTATCAAGTTTTATCTGCTAGGGTTATGAAAGTGTTTGGCTGAGTAGATCGCATCTCAATTTGACCTTTCCAGGCTCTGAAGAAGGCGAAACCGCCGAAACGTCAGCAATTGTGTTCTAATAAATTCTATATTAACAACCTCGTGTCTGCTTATTGATGAAAAACATTGAAGTAACTATTTTGGCAATAGTTGCTATAAGATGGATGCTTGGATACTTGGATACTTGGACGGTCCGTCCTCACTAGTTGTGCGGGCCCCAGCATAATCTCCAATTTTTTGGGGTTCTGCTGGCTTAGCCATTGTTGTTCCCTGGAGCCCCTAGATCAGCCTAGCCAGTCTGTCCCAAGATGTCACCTTCACAGGCAGTTGTAGCCTTGTGTATTAGAGGGAGGTTTGCCACCATAAGACTAGTTTGATGCCAAGACGACGATCGATTATGGTGTTGGTTTACACCTATCTAGGCTTTCTGATGGAAAGGTCGGACTCCTTCTCAGCTTAGGAGACCCTGCTAGGGAGTTGAATCCCTCCGCCGTACATCGCTGCTTGATAACTAGGAGCACCTCTCAGCCGCGATTAGACTGTAAGCCGTTGGGAGGACGAGAGGATGCTGAAAGTATCTCAAAATTAAAGTCATTCTGTAACCACACAAAGATCACGTGTCACAAGTCCATCAGAATGTTTAAAATCCTTAAATATTTCGATACACAGAAGTTATGATGGATTTGTTCAAAACCACACAAATAATTAATTTTCTACTGTTGTACGCTGCAAAATTTAGGAGGATGTCTGGCATATTCTTGACGCGAAAGGAGAGAGAGAAAGTGTCGAAGCAGAGGTTGAGTTCTCGACTTTATCGTCGAAAACTCTGCACTGCAAAGCAAAAAACGTTGCTGGATCAAATTTCACTTCGTTGACGTTTAACGTAAAGAGTAGGCGACTTTTGTTGAATAACAGTTAGCGAAGCACTGGTTTAACTCATAGGAATCGAACGTTTGAGACTTCTTCTTCAGAACCAGGTGATCCACCACAAGACATCCAGGTGCTTGCTATTGATGCGCGTGATGTGGTGATCGCGTGGAAAGCACCTAGGCATCCGAATATGAAAGTCAAAGTGATTAAGCTTACATTAGTTGGTTGTCTCCAAAATTTTTTTGTCACGTTTTTAGTTCTATGAACTTCTTCTAAACGAAGACGTTGATGAGGACGTGGAATACTGGCAGAAGTATAGAACATCAGCCAGAGAGGACTTACCATTAACACGGTAAAAATCTGAAGTTATTTGTCATTGCGAATCACTAATATTTTAGTCTTCTCAAGAAATTTTTACCCGTAGGAACTGCCTCTGTTGCATCGTCTTTCGTGTATTTTTCTCATATTTGAAGTGATTACATAAGAAACATTTTGTCCAAAACAGTAAAATGCGTACGCTAGGTTCGCATTCTGTATGCAATAACAGTTGGAGAGGAAGGACTTAGTTTCTTTTTCTTTGTTCAAAATCATCAAGGAGATTAGGAATACACATCAAACAGAAAATTAGGCTTGAGGCCGAGCTCCTGCGTTGTATGCCGTCTTTTCCTGAATCTGTTGTCAAAGCTACTCCAAGGTTCTATTTAGGCACGCTAACTGTTATTTGTTCCATTTCTCGTCTTACGAACCGTAGAATAGTCTTCGGAAAAGAATACTCACAGATTTTTTAGATAGCATCATTCTAACGATAAAGCGATGGCATCCTCTGTATAAAATGTGGTTCTATGAAGTTCATTGTTTAAATCTCCCACTTGTACAAAAAGTGTAACTCCAAAAGTGATCCAGATATGTCTCAGTGCTATTTAAAGAATAAACTCGAAATTTGCTGTACACAGTACATGCAAATCCTAATAAACATACGATTGTAGTTTGACGCTTCCAACCGAGCAGCTGAAGCCGTCGCACATCTACTATGTACGAGTACGAGCGTTTAATGAAGCTGGCTCGGGGCCTTTTTCGGATCCGATTCACTTTATCACGCCGAATGGAGGTAAACGATTTTACAGTGATTTATCAGTCGGGAAATTATGTGACCTCTTGAAGTGGTTAATGAACGATAAAACGCATACAAAGAGCGACCATAATCTTTCTTTGAGGCGTGCGTGGACAGAAATGGGCTCCGTGTACCTGATCATTGCTGTCTCTGATCATCATCTGAAACTCATCGCGGCCACTTTTTCATTTACTGCCTATTCTTTTTCATGACAGGATATGATGCGAAATGTTTAAACACGGCTGAGAAAAAGCGAAACGAAGGACCCGCATGATGTGGGGGTGAAAGCGTTGCCCTCCGGAAAGAGTAATAGCGGGTTCAATCATCACCGCAGACACCTGAGGTCCGGAATTTTGCAAATGTTTCAGCATCATTATACTCATCGTAGCTTTATACCATCGGTGTGCTTCAATATCCATCGAATTCAAATCCATTGTAGCTTTAGTGCACAAGAGCATGAGTGGTGCAGTTAAGAATAACACAGCCGTTAGTTAAAAAGAGCATGTTTTGTCGGAAGCATGATACTGACGATATCGATTGGACAACAATTGCAAGGTAAGTTCGATATTGACTCGACGCCGTTGTCACTGCAGCAGGATTGACCATTCCTAGCGTTTTCACGGTGCTGGCATACAAAAAAAAACCTTACTGAAGCGATAAGGTCGCGTACGGGACAACATTTCCACCATGCACGTGCCATATATCTATTGTACAATAATCCGACATGGCTTCCACATCCTCATCACTACAACTCCACAAGTCTGTCGGCACCCCCTTTTAGAAAACATTAGCTATAAAGGATTTGCTGCTGAAAGTACGACGCTCTCCATGTAGAACCCAGTGGAACCCAATGGACAGAGCCCTTGAAGGACAAGGACGAAAGAAGACTTTACTGGTGTTCATTTTGTCACACGATGTTTAACGTGTCTACATGAAAAATTTATTAGGTGGTTCAGAAAATAATGGCGGAAACCTGTGTTTTCAAATTTTCATGTCTCAGCTCGCAATAAACTTTGTAGATTGAAATGAAAACTATTAGAATCTACACCTATTGCAAACGACAATCTAGTTTATATATACCAGTTGGATAGAATTCTGGACTTCTAAAGGCGATGAAGTCGTTGTGGGAGCTTTCTGCTCTGGCTTGATTTGTGAAGTAGTTCTCGCGGACAAACTCGTCGAGGTACTTGAAGAAGTAGTCATCGTTAGGTGAGAGATCTGGGAAGTATGGTAGATAAGGCACGGTTTCGTATACCGGCTCGTTCAACTTTCGTAGCATCGCTAGTGCACGGTATGGCTGCGTTATCGTACTGAAGGACTGGTAACTTTCTGTCGACCCATATAAAGTACAGCTGTTGAAGTTTGTAGTGCATTTGGTCGATTTACTACGTCTACTTCTCTTCCGTAATAGTTTCTACCCAGATTCAGGAGGCTGTGATGAATTAGGATCAAACCAGCAGCAAACCACCAAAATTTCAGCATGACCTTCTTTTGGTGCAATTTTTACTTTGGCGATCGTGGCACGTTATCATAGAGGGTCGGTCCACTTCTCGTCGCATCTTACGCTACTGTGTAGTAACAGGTCGTTCTGGTTGCTCAGAAGCGCCGGCGACACTTCAGAACGGCGACTTTTTTGATTTTCATTCAATTCGTCGATATTCTTCGACTTTCGAAACGTTTGAGATGCTCCAGAACGGTTAAGATGTTTGCATCGAGTTCTGGTGAAAGTCGTCGAACAGTCGTACTTGTAATTCCCAAGACCGACTTTCTGTTAACCTCGGCATAATAACAGTTATCGACCATGTATTACTCTGTGCGGCGGCTATCCACCAACTAACTTAAATACTTACAACAAATAAACTGCTCTGAAGAAGGCGAAACCGCCGAAACGTCAGCAATTGTGTTCTAATAAATTCTATATTAACAACCTCGTGTCTGCTTATTGATGAAAAACATTGAGTCGTACTTGTATTTACTTCTACCAAATCCTTCATTTCATTGTCCTCAATGGTAAAAGAACGTCCACAACCTCCCTCACATTAAACGTCAAATTTGCCACGACGAAGTTTTTCGAACTTATATTGAGCTGTGCGTTTGTTAACATTTCTTTGATCCCATACCTCATAAATGTTTCGAACCGCCTGTGCTGCGTACTTCCGAGCTTGAATTCGTAGCAGTGAATTTGTCGAATTTATTGTTTCTAAATGTGAAATCCTAGCCTTTCAAACTTTTCAAAGCTTAATGTTAACTCTTTAGTTACTGCTTATTATTAGTTTTCATGGCAAGGTATTACGTGTGAAACAACCACAACGATGCTGAGATGTTTGCAAAACTCCGAACCGCAACTGTTTGCGGTGGGGAGCGAACGCGTTATTATCCATTCCAGGAAGTAACGCGTTCACCACCACACCATGCGGGTCCTTCGTTTCGTCTTTTCAAAACATATTTTTTATTTCAATTCAAGTAAATGGAGCACTAATGTGTAAAATGAGCTTTGCAAAGATGTATAATAGCATGGCATTCGAAAAAAGGCTATTGCTGAGAGATATACAGGGAAATTACATTGCAAACCCAATATTAATTTCTGAACAGCCTAGTGGATTATGACAGACAGTCAGTGATAACATGAACTTCCTAGGATTTTTCCCTACCGGTCAAAGTCTGCATTACTGTGCATTAATGTTTCTTTGATGAAGCACAAATTGTCTCGGATTCAACGTATTTGAACACATGATATTCCTTTGATTATCTAACCCACATTATGAGACCTAAGTGAATACAGGGTTTATCGTAACATGTGCTAATTACGCAGATAGAGCAGTGTTACTTTAGAATCAAAATGGACGCCGCGTTAAGGCTTCTTGCTTCGCCGTAATGAACGCTTGCCCATCCACCCCTCCCTCCTCCCCCACCTTACCAGATTGTTTACAGGATGATTTACGTGGAAAACTTACCTTGTTTCGAACAGATTTTTGAGTGCGGTGCGCAAAGATTTCCTTTATCATTATTTATTATTATTGTCATCAAGTCCACTCAGCCATCATAGTTGTGCTGATGAGCACAGAAATGTACACATCAAAAAGTCAACTTGAACCTAATTGTTTCGGAAGCAGCCTTGTGACTCACTTCCTAGTCAATCGGAAAAATTCCTGCAAAATATCATGCAGAGGGCACCGTCACCTTCACCTTGTAGAGGAGTTTATAGCGTTAATGTTTACACTCTTTATCCAATCCGACGAATTCTTCAGGCCCAGAAAATGCCCCTACAAGCGTAACTGTGGACATAAACGAGGCCAACATTGCTGTGATACGATGGCAAAGGCCGACCTCGTCCACAGAAATATTGGTTGGTGATGTGGAGCTCTCTTCAGATTCGACATCACAATAAGCTACCATATTGAGAACTCTCATTCATCTTCAGAATTATGTGATCTACTTTACAAGGGACTTAGGAATCTCCAACGAAGGCTATCGTGAATGGCAGACGGTTGAAGTTCCGGCAACACAAACACAGTTCGTTTTGTTTTCACTGTTGATTTCATTGACAGTAAAGTAGACAAAACCAAAGTACAGAAGAAAAAATGAATTCAGCACTTTCAAAACTTTTGATGCAATAGAGCTACTACTGTGGCAGGTTTTTTCCCACTTATTCGTCACTCACATAGTCGCTTGAATGTTGCGAACTATAACCTGATAGCGATGCTTACAATGTTACCGTAACTATAAACTCACCTCACAGTTTCGCCTTCGAAAACCCTCCATTACCAAATCTGATCACGAATAATTAGTACTTTGATGGGTGATTGTTGATGGAGCTGAACGATAGAACTAGATGAGAGACAGGCGAAACGAAGGACCCGCATTGTGTGGTGGTGAACGCGTTATTCCCCAGAAAGAGTAGTAGCACGTTCGTTCTCCACCGCAGACACCTGTGATCCAGCGTTTTGCAAATATCTCAGTAACACTGTGGTTCTATTTCGCTTAGTATCCTTCCGTGAAAATTATAGTAGGCAGAAAATAGAAAGTAAAAAAATCCTATAGTTCTTCTGCCTGTATCATCCGCTGTTGCCGATGATGGAATAAAATGAGTGTGCACTGATAGATTCTGCGTTTCATCGTTTCTTTCGTCAACTACTCTCTACAGACCTGTCTAACCGGCTTGAGGTTTCGAAAAGCGTCATACTTCACTTCCAGACTTTTTGTAAACGTCCCATAGGCGTCATTTTATCCGTTTTAGACCCTCATCAGTCGCCTTCCTTGAATGACATGATCTATTCGGTTAAGCTAGGCTTAACCGAATAGAACCTTAACCGAACCGAATTAAGCTTTGAAATTATAACCTATTAGGCGCTAACTATTTACAAATTTGCAACCACAATGGCGTGAATCTTCGGAGATTTTCCTTTGTCTGCTAGAAAAATAGTCACCTCAAAGCTTTCTTCTCTATATCTTTAGGATATGGTAAAATGATGTTATGAATTGTGTCGACTGAAAATCCAGGTATTTTCCTTTCCTCCTCCCAAATAACCTATGACTTTAACATCTAAAGTCAAAGCTATGCATCTTCTTAATTTGAAAGCACCAGATCCGAGGCGCGAAAATTTGAAAGTATCCTCTCTCAGAATAGACGGCGTTAGTCATGTGATGTAGCATTGCAGCAATTCTGCTAGTTGGGTCTTTACGCTCTTTGCGAACTTACTTTAACATTCTTATTTTACTCGTCATTGAATCACGATCGAATATTAAAGGAAGGAGATGGTCAACAACACTCTATATCGTCTGAAACGGAGACCTCTCATATTTGTAATGAACACTTCAGTACGAATTCCATTATTTACTGGTATTTAGGCCATTTAGGCAGTTTTTTCCTGTGGTTCCCGACTAGCCTTTCATGACTTCCAGATGCTGACGATACGCAGTCGTCGCTTGTTGTAAACCGCAAGAGGATTTTCTACCTTGCGACTAGATTCTTTCGAGAACCATGGCAATTACTACTTGAAATACACTCCTCATTGTACTTCCAGATGGAAATGTCGAACGTTTCTCTGCTCTGCTTTAAGGCAAAATGACATTTATCTCTGTATCCAAAGAAATTACTGCATGACAAATTTCAGCTACACGTTCGATCATCAAATTGGCTTAAAGCCAAAGACATTCTATCGATTGAGAGTCGGTGCGAAAAACGACATTGCTGATGGACCCGTCAGCGAAACGATAGAGTTCGAAACTGCCTATTCCGGTCAGTATACACACTTCATCTTGCTTTTTTTTATTGTCTAAGAACTGCTCACTACAATGGGTTATATATTATTTTCTTTCCGAATACTTTATTACACGTCGTTCTCAATCACTGCTGCTTGTCAATAGGCTTTTCTTACCGCCTTTTCTCTATGGCGCTTTTCCACTTGTTTTTGATCCACCAAGAAAGATATTCGAGGCCCTCAAATTATGTTTAGGCCTCCTCTTTTGCTGTATTTTCTTCCGTTTTTCAGTGGCCAGCTTCTGTAAAGGCAGTTCTACAAATGACTGCTGAATGCTGGCAGAATACTTCATCATTACAATGATAAGTTTACGTTTCGTTCAGAGCTTCCAATTCCAACAGACATCAAGGTAAAAGTAAACGAGGACAATTCATTGACTATCACGTTCTCAGCGGTTCGAGATCCCGACGATCACTCGAACGTCATTGAGGTAGAATTCTAGATCGTTCGTCATTATTGAATTTAGGCGAATACAGACATGAGAGAGAATACTGAATCAAAGAACTTCAACATGCGTTTAGATTAATGAGTTTATACGAGGTTGTTCCAAAACATTTATTCGGCTGACATTTGACGCCTTCTTCTTCATCAGAGCCAATAATCCGTGTCTACGGTCCACGGTTGTTCGTCTTTTCGATATGGTATCTTCGTATCGATTCGGATCTTCTTCAGCGAAACATCTCTCGAATGAGGCGTGTTCACCCGGTGATGTCCTTTTATACAGGCCACAGATGTTTATAATAGTGATTGTCTGGTGATAACAACTTGTTTCTCTCGGATAATCCACCCTGCAGAAGTCGGCAGCATTATCAATGCTGTATCATCGGCTCTGATGAGAAGAAAGACGTCAAAATATTAGCCGAATAAAAGCTGTTCAATAAACTCGTGTATGCTCAACAATTTAAACGCATGTTAACTAACCACACTGATGTCAAAGAACTTCATTTATATGTGGCTGGTGACGGCCACGAAAAATTGCTGATCTGCGACTGGAATCCTCAACGAGCAAAATTTTTGTGTAGGAGTATTATTTTACTGATTCCTGTCATATCTAGAACCTCCAATGGGAATTCAAGACATGCTTATATAGCAAGTTTCAATGTGGTAATATAGATTGGATTACTGTTATTCCTTGCTTTAACGACCAAATTAATCCATTACCATTGCATCATTCGATACCAGAAGGTAAAGGAAAAAGCATACGGCATTGATCTTAGGCCTCCATTTGTAGCATATTCGGAGCGATTGAATTAATATCTGACCTTCTGGGAGCTTTCACGCGCCTACCGATGTAACATGTTAGTGTTTCTATACTCAGAAACAGATCTGATACCAATCCGTCGTCCTCGATGGAATGGTTGTCGGAATAGCGCAGTGCGTGGGATTGAACCAACCACCCAGTGCATTTTCATGGTACCTCTAACCACCGCGCCAGAAATGGAAATGCATGGAAGTGAGAACGTGTTAACATAACAAGGTACATAAGACACCGTAACTTTTCCAGCATTACAAGATCGAACTTGCTCAATCGGATGACGTCTTGACTGCACATTGGTTCCCAGTGAATACTAAAACGATCGCCGTCGATCATGTTACTTCAAAGGTAACCTTTACTTAAGGTCACCTCTGCTCCTTGACATATTTTTTTAAAAAAAACATAAAATTCCGTTTGCCAGAGTTGGATATGTCACTGCGACATTTTAAGCACTTACGCAGTCATTTTTGCACTACCATAGTCGAAATACTGCAAAATTAAGTAGGATCTAACAAATCTATCGATATTTTTGGTAATTTAGACCAAGTGACTGAAAAAAGTACGACGCTTCAAGCTATTAGTAAAGAGCTACTGGTGTTCTGAGAAGATCCTTACGTAGCTAGCTACCTTGGCATTAGACAATACTAGTCCATTTATAGCTGACGTTTTTCTTGACTTTTATTTTGTACACCAACAATTTCCATTCTCCAAGGAGTCTTCATGGAGAGGTGATAATCGAATGCTTTACTGATTAATGAGAACCGACAAAAAAAACCATATTGTTTTTCTTTAAATCCCTCGCTTATTATATATTCACAGTTGTTTCAGGTTACCATAGAGATTGACAGTTCAACCCTGGCTCCCAGCAGCATGTACTGGATGAAAATCACTGCATCACTGGACAATCCGACTCGTTTCGTGCAGGCTTCAAAGCCACGATGGTTCCGAACCAGTGATGGAAGTGAGTAGTGTCACTTCTTTCCTAAGCTGATGGTCATCATTTCCGGAAATCCAATCCAAAATAGCTCTTTTAGTCTTATAACATTAAAAAATATGCACTGAATAACTGAATAACCCAAAATTAGAAAGCCAACATGAAATATTCCTTCTCACTCTGTTTAAAAACAATACACTTATCATGACAACATTTCTATTCAATAAAATTGAACTGGAAATAAGACTCCAAGAAAAATCAAGTGGAGCAACATCTATATGTTTCCATTAAACCAGTCACCCATCAATTCTGTGTAAGTCAGTTACTATTATGATACTGCAATAGCTAACGAAATAAGTGCAGAAAATGAAGTCCAGGAATGCCTACGACTGCCCTTGTCAGCTATATTTAGCAGCCAATCGTGCAAGGCGTGGCAGGAGAACTAGTGACAGGTTCAGGTTCAAGCTAGCCCTTGCAGTATTTCTTTTTACAAGACTTGTGACCTCCAGATTTTTGTATGAAAAGCAGTGACAACAGTTGAATGAAAAAAAAGAATGAGGAACTTAAAGGTACCCAATCGATGTTCATCGTATACGGAACCGCAGTGTTACGAACTACTCGATGTCGATCTATCATTCTCCTTTGCTATTCCATCCTCGTCGTACGGTGCCTCCTCGAGAATGCTTACGAGTATAAAATCGGCGAGATCGATTCCTATTATTTCCTTCAAGTACTCTCCTCTAGACAGATTTTACGCCCAAAAAAAAATTGGTAAAATTGGTGACAAGGGCGCGTTTGGCGCAGTGGTCGGAGGCACTCCGCAACACACACGTGGAATCGATCCTTCTGCCTATGGCCCACCAAGCCTTTCATCCCTCCGCAGTCGGCAAATTCGTACCAGACTTTTCTGGAAGGATAGCAGCACTGGCTCGATACATCACTTCAATCACTTTCAAACGATGCTTAATGAAGGCGAATGCATGGCGCATCCTTCAGGGGTTGATTAACGCCGAGAGCTTTACCCTTTTTTTATTGGTGACAATAAAAACTCATAACCTGTGCTTTCGTATTTGACTACATGCTATGGAGGATGTGCAAGAGATTTTCGTCTTGAACCCTGGTTGCTTTTAAATCACCTATTGCATGGACATACAAAACTATTTGGTCGAAGGCTTATTAGAAGAACAATCGAGAACATTAGAACCTTTATATTTTTCTTGGAGTGATATCAATACGTCCCAAAAAACGACTCAGAAGTGAAGGCAATTTGAGAACAACATTATTACGACACTTTGGAATTCGTCACCTTCGAGCAATGACGTAGCCAACATGTATTCCTTGACTTTTCTGAGTATTCCTAGTCTTATATAGGCTTTTTCTGAACTTAAAATTACTTTTGAGTATAGTTTAGAACACAAAACTCGTGTGAAAATCGAAGGAGCTCCGTTAGTGGAAAGAGAACCAAATCTGTTCGAAGAACTGCAACTGGTGTGTCGTGCTGAAGGTAGCCCCGCTCCAGTGCTCGTTTGGTACTGGAACGACAACAAAATTCAGTCTGAATCGCAGGGATGGTCAGTACGAGAAGAGCACAGCGATCGGAAAACAGTGTTAGTGCGACTACGTTCGAGAACTTTATTAGAATAATCAGTTTAGTAATGTTCTTCTTAAATTTCTGCGACAAAGTGTTATTGTATGTTATAGTAACACCACTATCTCTTCAGTTTATCCAAAAAATCGTCTAATTGCTAAAAGTACGACTACATAGTTGCTGATTTTTTATTTTTATTTTACATGACCCATCTTCCCTCCCAATTATTTACAGCCTCATCGTGGCTGGGAGGTGTTCCTTGATGCCGGGCTGCGATGTACAGCGGGGGATTCGTCTTCTGGCAAGGTCTCCCAAGCTGAGAAGGACTCTGGCGTTTCCATTAGGAAGTCTGGCTAAGAGTAAACCAATACCAGGATTCACCATCATCCTGGTATTAAAGCCGTATTGTGGCAAATCTCCAGGTGATCCACAAGGACTGCGGCAGCTTGTAGTAATGACGACCTGGGGCAGACTTGGACCAGGCTGACCTCGCGATTTCAGGTAACCATGTCTTACCTATTCAAGACCCATCTTCACATCTTTTGTGCGGATCCCAGCATTTCTTTGACTCAATTCGTTTTCCTCGCATTCATCGTCCACACTGGTCTTCGAACGTTGTGTGTTGTTTCGGCTACTGCTTAAGGATTTCGCCTTCCTTTGACCAACTTGGAGTCTTGGTCGAGTCGATTCTCCTTGTAGTCTTTAACATAGTCCGACTAAGTTCCCACATGGATCGGAGGAGAGCATTGAGAAGGGCGTCGAACTAGCGCCTTTGCTTCTTGTTCGATGGCACCACTAACCACTGCGCCCACCTCTCCACTTTTACATACCTGTAACTAACATCATATTTAATGTTTTAATGTGTGTGAGACGGGCACACTATGATAAAATTGTTTAGATCTGTGCTCACGCGAAACAGCGTGCGTGAATCAGGACGTGCAGTGTGCATCGCAACGAACGACGACAGTAGTGCTACAGCTGAGATTGAGGTAATTTCCAGGATATACGATGCTTTCATACTGCCAGCCGCAAACTTTTACTAAAAACGTTTATGTCAAAATTGCTAAATGTACACTCATCTCTAATTACCACTAGGAACGATGAATAAAGTAAATAAAAAACGTTGAATAGTAAGTAGTAAAATGGCTATGTTTTCAACGTTGGGTAATCTGTGACGGATGCGCCATGCATTCGACTCCATTCGTACTATCATAAAAATGGATCGATGCACATTTAACCTATACAGTGACATTCGATGGCCTACCGATGTATCAAGACAGCGTTCTTATGCTATCAGACTCATCTGGAACCTATTTCTTCACCTTGGTGGGATGGAACGCTTGGTTAATGCAAAAACTCTCACAATAATCTCACCAGAAAAATTCCTTGAACCAAGGAATTTCGTGATGAGATCGCTTTAGATCAGTACGAGTTCCGTGACGATTACGGCTTTTGTTATCGGAACGTTTGACAATATTTATAAGCTGATCTGTGCACCAAACTAGTTAATTCATTTGTAGGTGCGAGTACTTGGTCCTGGAAGCGCTCCACGAAATATGAAGGCTATAGGTTGGCGGAATCAAATCAACATTTCCTGGATCGAGCCGCTATTTCCGAACGGTGCCATTATGGTATTACTTAATTTTATTTTTTTTTCTTCCGGTCGCTTTTCTTTACTAATACCTGTGGAATGAAGTGCTCAAAGTGGATGACAAACATGACACGGTTATTGTATTTTAAAAGAGAAGGAGAGATGGAAAAGCAAAATCAATAGGAAGTGGTGCAAGGGAGAGACGGGGACCAAGAAAGAGAAAGAGCGCAAAATGGAAGGCGCAACGGAGTGTTAGTCCGTTTGGATTACTGTATAAAAAGCTTTTCTGCAATATTTTGCTACATTAACTGTTATACAGATTGTATTATTATATTATACTATATACAACCGTGTTATATATTATAAAGGTCTATATTATATATATATATTTTCTTTATTTTATATGACCCGTCTTCACATCTACCGTGCGGATCCCATCGCTTCTCACATTCGATCCTTCCCCTCGCATCCATTGTGAACGAAAATCTTCCAACTTTTGCCTGTAGCTTCGGTTACTGCATGACGATTTTCATTTCATCTTGAATGTCGTAGAATGCTGGCCGAGTAATTCTTCCTGGAGTCCTGAGATAACCGGGTTGCAGCGTTCCCAACTGGACTGCAGAGAATGAAATTTTTCCCAGGCCAATCCGGTACGAATTTACCGACCGCGGAGGAATGAGAGGCTTAGCTGGCTCGGAGTGGAATCGAACTAGCACCATACTCGCGATGACGGGCATCACATTACTGTATCGTATTATATATGTCATATTATATCATACTATATTATACTATATATTAACTGGGTTTAATCCCGACTTGTGCTCCTTAGACCAATCCCGTTGATAGGAAACTAGTCGAGAAAGAGGCAAAACGAAAGACCAGCGTGGTGTGATGGTCAACGCGTTAGTCCCTGGACAAGGTAATAGCGCGTCCGTTCCTCACCGCAGACAGCTGCGCTCGGAATTTTGCAAATATCTCAGCATCGTTATGATTTTGCTATATTCTTCATCCCGAGTTGCGAGCAACTCTGAACGCTATACATACAGTAGCGCACGAATGGTGTTATCTGCAAGCTCACGTTGCTTCTTACAATACTTCAGTGCAGAAATTTGAGGAGAAAGGAACTGAGTTCTTTTCAGCTTTTAGTTTCTTTAAAGATGTTATTGTGGGTAACCCACTCTAGTGTAGAAAACATAAAGGCACTCTTTCCTAATAAATATCCCCTTGGTTAAGAGTGTCTGCAAGCCTAATTTCCTCCCGCAGCCGAAGTCCTCAGCAGTTATTGAACTTACCTGAAGCTTTTCACCACCCTTTATCACATGCTATTGACCAAACCAATTTCAACTAACTTGGAAAACCATCAACAAGGTGTCCAGCCGTACTTGTCCCGACTGAGAGCTGAACAGTGGGCCTCTCGTGAGCCATCTCCTCGAATGAGGCATCCTCATTCAGTGATGCCCTTTTATACACGATGCTGATGGTCGACATAATGGTAATGTCCGGTGATAACAACTTGTTTTTCCTCCGGACATACATTATTGCGCACATCGTGCAGAAGTCGGTGTTGTTATCAGCCAGCACAAAGCGTAGTAATATTTCGAAACCGACTTTCCTTGAACCTCGGTGTCACTAATCAATATGTATTCTTTCTTTGATGAGCTTACAGGAGGTTGATGACGATATTTATTTTTGGCTAACGTTTCGACGTCTTCGTCTTCCTCAGAGCTGATGACCCGAGTCGATGGTTCATGCTTGTCATTCGTCTCGACGTGGCAGCTTCGCCTTCGTGTCGGGTCAGGTCTTCCTCAGTGAGCCATCTCCTCGCCTAGCCTTTGTACGTGTTTATTTGTTGGAGCGAATTTCGAACCACCACCGCTTATCAATCAGTTCATTGGTGAATTCTAGTTGAATCGACGTGCAAGACATTGATGCAATTTAATCCTCATGTACGCAAGCACACCTACGCATGCACAAAACTTACTGCCTCCTTCCTTCCTTCTACCGTCGGCAGATTGGTACCAGGCTCGTCTGGGTAGCCTACCACCCAAAGATTGGCGATTGCCTGTGGTGAAGTCATGGAAGAACACTCGCGCATCTATTTCAAAATGCCACGAAGAATTTACTCCACCACCATTCTAGGTGCCTCATTAAGAATAAATTTTCAGGAAGAAGCAGGATTCGCACGCAAATCCAAAGAATATCGTGCATGAGCTATCGGAAAAAGACGAATCGAATGAAAGAAGCCACGGGATCCGCAAAATATGTCGGGTTATGTGACCTAGAACGAAATAAATGAAGATTGAGAAGAGTGAATATGATGGGATAACCACAGCAAGAAGCAAAGGCGACGATTTGAATATCGAACTCACTGTGAACAATCAGCACTGCATACTACAAGTTATTATGTAAATATGCTGTTTTTTCTTATCTTTAGTAAGATAACTACCATAAAAGTGATGTAGGAGCTGATTTCTAAATTTATTCATCCTTTGGAAACTCGTCTTTTGCTCAATTCAAACTGAAAGTGTGGTTGATCTAGAGTGAGACTGAACCAACGACTATATATATACAGAGAGCACTATTGAAAGACAGTACATCTGCAAGTATTGGTTCAAATATTTTAAAAAAACATTCCAGAAATACATTGTCTATTATGCTACACGCAACGCAATAGATCTTTCCGAATGGGAGAAAGTTGAAACTGAGACGACTAAGATTGACGTCGAGGCTACATCGCCGGAAACACTCTATCTAGTCAGGGTTCAGGCTGCTACTGTTGATGGGCCAGGCATCATTTCCGAACCGGTCGAATGTTATAGTGACACGTATTGTGTGTTTCATACAGTCATCACTTTTCATGTTGTATTCATTTTAAAATAATCCCAAAATTTCAGATGAGCCCATCGTTCTGAGTCTCTTTTCTACGAATGTCGTCGATTTCGAAGCTGAGCCAAATCAAACGGTGACCATAAGATGTAGCGCTCAGGTTGACAATTAATCCGCACAATTTATATTTCTCATTGAAGCAATTATTCACAAATCCTAGTGCGCCACCAATCCAAGTAACTTTTGGTATTGCTTTATTACAAGACTAAGGTTAAATGTCCACTAAAGATAATAAAGATTTAAAATACCAAATTGGACTCGTTTGAAAGCTTTTAACTTATAATAATTTAAACTTGCGTTAAAAAATAGTGTGCAGTCTCAAGCATAAATTACGCCTTAACTGATAATAAAAAGAATGAAGCTCTCGGCGTTGATCAATCCTTGAGGGATGCGCCATGCATTCGACTTCATTAAGCATCGTTTGGAGGTGATTGAATGCATATCTGGCCTTAACAATAATCCTCAGTGGCCTACCGATGTATCGAACCAGTGATGCTATCCTCCCAGACAAGTCTAGTACCAATCTGCCTATTCCGGAGGGATGGAAGGCTCGGTGGGCCAGTGGCGCGGCAATCGATCCTATGTGTATTAGGGGGCCCTCCGACCACTGCGTCACATGCGCCCACACGCTTTCACTGATATCGTGATAAAAGTACTAAGTAAATTCGACTCCACATGAAGCCACTGGCATTAAATAATAGAGAGTTATGGTTATATATAATGTTGTATAGGGGCAACCAACTCCACGTCTGTTCTACGCCTGGGAAAATGATGCGGAAATCGAGGTCACAGATCTGTTGGTGAGCACCAGCACACATCATGTCAGTGCAGAATTTCGACGAAGCGCGTTCAAAAACGACAGTGTAACTTGTCGAGCTGAGAACAAACACGAAAACGTGAACATCACCCGGAAGCTGATCATTCGCAGTAAGTATGACTACAGTGTGCCATTTGAATTTCGAATATTCGATCGAACTCAATGATCTAGTCCACTCTGAATCCAAATGAATACGCTTAGAAATTCTGTCATAATGTAATATAATATTTATTTGCTGATAAAAGTTTGTGTAGTAAATTAAATATTTTCATGGACCAATCATACAAGAATACGTAGGGCTTAAAAAATGGACTCGAGCAAGCCATACATAGCAGAATAAGTCTTTAGTAGTCTTTAATTTCTATCGTATCACATATATTATATATACGACCGGTTCAGAACCAGGCGATGCTCCATCGAACGTAACGTGGATGTTTGACAAAAACGACAGCCTCTTCATAAACTGGAACCGAGTGCGGTACCCAAATGGCAATGTGGTAAGTTGGCGTGGTGATTTTCTATTCCATATTGGATACTTAAATCTGTATCTTGTACCACGTCTACAGTCGAGTAACTTGTTCAGCTAACCAATAGTGTCCCCAGAGCTGTCCAGTCGCCGTCGCATGCTCAAAAGGCATGAAGAGTGCCACGCTTGAATGTTAGGCTCTACATTTTCACCATTCCAGAAAGTCGATATCTTTGGTTAAGCTTACTAACGTTTTCAATTTTCCAGTTCGATGTGCTCGCCGACAGCTTGCTGGGCTCCGTTTGAGTTTCTTTATTACAGACGGCTTAAAACCGTCTCTCATGTATCTCCTAGTCACTTGATACACGCTTTTTGCCATGTCGATGTGCATGTGCAAATAGCATAGATGCGAGCATACTCATTCAAGTACGGATGAGTCGGCTTGTATGTATAATGAAAGCATCAATTCACTAAACAATCCAAGAGCGATTCCATCTCATGAAGTGCTCTCTAAACTCAGAGGAAGAACATGGTCGCCTACCGTTAAGCCCTAACTTCCCATCTTCCACATAAAGGTGTACCACATAGCCTACTCACTGAAGGGCCGGACATCCATCACAAGAAGAAAACACACAGAGCAGCTGCAAAAACTGCAAAATTATATATAATTACCATCAAGCACATCTTTTTACCTTACTAGCCGTCTTCCACATCTACTATGAGAATTTCAACACTTATTCCATTTGATTCGTTCCCTTGCAACCATTACAAACGAAGGTCTTCCAACTTTTTACGTGTGAATTCGGCTGCTGCTTGAGGATTTTCCTTTTGTCATGAATGTCGTTGAACGCTGGTTGAGTCGGTTTTCCCTGGGGTCATGAGATAGTCGGGCTAGAGCGTTCATACTTGGACTGCAAAGAGTGAACTTCTTCCAGACAAGTCTGGTATCAGTTTCCACACCACATGTGGAAGCCTGGTGGGTTCGCGGCGTGGTCGAATCAGTACAGCACTGGTGACGTTCTGCATCACTACCACTGTGCAAACAACGAGTTCGATGCTGTTAGATTTCTTCGTCACCATTTTACTTCTTATTCTAATTTCCCATTTTATAAATTTCTTAAAAGTTTCAATCACTTTTAATCTCTTAAGCAGTATCCATCGTTGAAGATTTTGAATGGAACCTTTATTTCCCTTTTAAGGAAGCTAGCGCTCCTGTTTAATTGTATATTATTACTTCCTATTCAGACCTACGTTTTGTACCTTTCTAATTTCGTGGATCGTGTTCCGGGACCACCAATCCGAATACCTAAAGTTCCATATGATGTAAATGTGACACTACAAATTTCCGCAGAAAATGAGTGGGGTGAAGGACAGAAGTCACCTCCGATAACTTTCCTCACGCCAAATGGAGGCAAGTGATATTTTTTGCTAAAGGAAAGTTCTTTGTTGTATAGTTTCTAGGATGGAAACATCCGTTCAGGACCGAAAGATGTGCCATCGATAACGGCATTACAATCAAAAGATGGTAAAGTGACGGTAACGTGGCAGACTCCGACGATGCCAAACGGGAAGATCAAGGCAGGCAAGAGCTTGTAGCAATTCTTGGTGAATGTCAAGCATACTAACTTTTTCAGCATTACACTATCTACTTCAAAAAAAGTGAAGAGAGCGACGAACAGCCGTGGCAATATGTGGAAGTGAATGCGAATCGAACACAATTCATCATCGATAGTCTGATAGGATTGCAAGAAAATGCAAAGTACAAACTGAAAATCTCAGCCACCAATGAACGCCATGAAGGACCGACTTCAGAGGTAGTATAACACCTAAATGCAAAGTTTAATGACTAACGCTTTTAAAGGATAAAGGATAAAGCTCTCGGCGTTGATCAATCTCTAAGGGATGCGCAATGCATTCGACTTCATTAAGCACCATTTGGCATATCTGGCTTTTACGATGACTCGCGGTGGCCTACCGATATATCGAGCCAGTGCTGCTATCCTCCCAGAAAAGTCTGGTAGCAATTTGCCAACCCCGGAGAGATGGAAGACTTGGTGGAGCAATGAGCCAGTGGATCGATTCCACGTGTTTGCTACAGGGCGCCTCCGACCACTGCGCCACACGTGCCAACAGAATGTTAATTTTAGTAGTTTTCAGATTTTGTTATTCGACACTTATACAAGCCAAGAGGATCTTCCGGTACCAGAAAACGTGACCGCCTACCTGAAAAACGCTTCGCTAACTGTTTATGTGCCGACGAAACACGCATATCAGGTTGATCAACGCTGCCCCAGCGATTATTTATCTAGACCTTTGTTTTCAGAACTATATCATGTACATTCGTCCAGAGTACGGTGGACAGTACTGGAAATATGAAGCTACGAACGTAACAGAATCTCAAGAGACGATAGTCATTGAGCATTTTCCATTGGATAAAAATGTCAGGTACGATATTTAGCATGTGTGCAAAACAAAAGAACGAATTTTCCAGCATTTGCATAATTAAATGGACCATCGATAGCTTCAAGGTAGTCCAAAAACAGCGTTAAGGCGCACTTGAAAGTCCTTTAAAACTTTTATCCTACCATCTATCCGAGAAAAGCACAGTACTTGACGCTTATTTTGTGACGAATAATTTATGTCTATCGCTGCAGCTATCGGATGAAGATCGCTGGAGTGAAACACGGAAAGGAAAGCCAATCATCCTTTGAATTCCCGTTAATAGTATACACCGAACCTGGTAGGTCAATCTGATATAATACATTTCAAAACTCTCAATGATGACATTCAGTTGGTGCTAAAATGGAATAATTTCCGGATGATTCCAACTATTTTCATTGAAATAATCAACATGTTTTTAATTTGTTGAACTTGGACGAAGTTGATGAACTTGTTCATTCCGCCTAACGTTTCGACGTCTTCGTCTTCATCAGAGCCGATGATCCGAGTCCGTGGTCCACAGTTGTTCGTTATCTCGATGTGGTGTCTTCGTTGTCGTAGCAACACCGGATCTTCGTCAGTGAACACCGCACAAATGAGCCATGCACATCCGGCAGTGTCATTTTATACAGAGCGGTTGTCACTGATATGCCACATCGAGATGACGACCAATTGTGGACCAGCGACACGGACCATCGGCTCTGATGAAGAGGAAGATGTCGTGAACATTAGCCGAAATAAACAAATTTATCAACCATGTGTAAGCTCAACAAATTAAAAACATATTGATTATTTTCATCGAACCCTCAATACTATAATATTAAGATTTCTAGCGAAGGCTGTTTACCTCTTTATTCTATCCGATGTTTTCAAAACCCACCAGTGGTTCTTTATCGCTTCATCGCTGTGGAATTATTTTAACAACAACGTGGCCTCTGCGCTCCGTGCAGTACAGGTTGTAGAGTGAGACATTTTGTAGATTATTTGAAACAATGCCATTATATTCGGTCATTCCAGAACTCCATCCTCTGTCTCAAAAGACTATAACTACCAGTAATTGCAATTCACCGACTTGTCCAGCTGATAAGAGCAAACTATACGCAATCAGTTCTCTGATCAGTTCTATTAGAACAATTAAACTGCAGTTTCTTTCAAAAACTTATCATCAAAAACTTCAACGTCAAAGGAGATTGTTTTGCAGAGTTCCTATACACGCCACGCATAAAAAAATTATAAAGAAACTCGTCACTGGTCCTAGAAATTGCATGACGATATGCATGACGAGACTCATATATAGAACGATCATTTCCTACAAACCAAAACAAGATGTCTCCTCATCATTTCGAATACATGATCCGACCATCGCCTCTTTACGAAGATTCGAATCATCTAAAAGCCGTAAGCTACACTCGTCAGTTATCAGGAATAAAAGGACAAGTCAAGTATAAGAAGAAAGACAGAATCTCCTACCCATATCGAGTGGCTTGCAATTTAACGAAGATTGAACAGAAGATTATAAGCTATGCGTCACAAACTTCAAAACTGTCGGATGGGCCTTCATTCCTAAATTTGAATGTTCGCATTACATCATTACCGGCAAGCATTTTACTGAGAAAGGAAACTGTAGCATTTAACCATGGGGCGGATAGGTAGGGATGTCGGTTATCACAAGAATGGTGCTAGTTCGATTCTCCTCCCGGCCAACCAAACCTCTCATCACTTCGGGTCGGCAAGTTGGTACCCGATTTATCTGGGAAAAAAATCGCTCTGCAATCCAATTAGGAAAACCACAGCCCGGCTATTTCAGGACTCCAGGGAGAATTGCTTGACCAGCATTTTACCACACTCGAGATGAAGTGAAAATCTACAAGCAGTGCGTAAGTGAAGGGATTCTACTCCATTAACTCTTGCCCTTCACCAAACTCATAGCAGAAAGTGTCCAACAGAGCTCCACTTTCTCAAAAGTTTCCGCTGCCTTACAGTGGATATTGCAGCCGCTCGAATGAAGCAAAAAGAATGAGAGAAAGTTCATATTTGATCTCTATCGTCGTCTCAATGGCTTACCCATGTCGTGGTTGGTGAGCGTACTTAGATGTTACAGTACCGTGAACAATAGGAGGTCCACTCCTCTAATAAGCTCAATCAAAATGAGAAGCAAGTAGACATATCTTTCCGGAATTCCAGCTAAGACTAAACCGATTATCCGATTACCTTACTGCAAAGTTCAAACATTTACCTATGGCTGCCCTTTCGCAAGAGGAACATAAAAGAGTGAAGGTATACTAAAAATGTAACATCGTCGTGTTTCTTAACTGAGCGAACTGAGTCTGCTGTAAAGCTAGAGATCTATTGGAGATTATCGGTGTTCTCCTTTAAGTTGATAGATGATTAACGTTTTCCATAATCCATATATTCATAGATGTAGAATAGCGTTTAAAGAATACGAAAACACAGTTCTCAACGTAAAATGCTTATATAGCCTTGGTACTCCATATTTTCAGAGTTGGATGATTTACAAGGGCCACCAGAGCCAGTTTCGCCACAATCTACACCGTTGGTCATCACAGCCGAGAAGCGTCGCATCGTCAAAGAGCCGCCGCTCTGATACTTAGGAACTCAGACGCGATCACCATGGTCTTTTCCAGGCAGTGATCTTGTAGACACAGTACATCATGGGATCCATATTTTACGGTTCTGCGTTATATGATTTTCAGAATTGTTTAATTCAAAACGTTGTTTAAGAATTATTTAAAAGATGATATTTTATATGACACTGCACCAATTAAATTTGTTACAACGCGTCGAAAAAGAGAATCTGATTCTTTGAAGCATTCTCCGATTTACTTGCCTACCGAACAGAATAATAGTACCTTGGAGATGATTAACGAAAGATAAAATCTCTCTCATACAAGAACAGGTATTGTTCTATTTGCAGACCCTTTCTTAACAACTCTTCATGAATAGGATGTTTTCGGAAGTGTAAAAGCACAAGGGTGATTACAATAACAGTGATTCTCCAAGAAAAAAAAAACTGGGCAGAACTAAGAAAGCAGAATATCCAAGTCACGAGTTTTCTAAAGACTTCAAAACCTCTGCCTTCCAACGAGTTATTGATGTCGTTTGTACATTTGTTGCTTCCTTGTATGCCGTTCATTTTTTCGTCTTTCTCTTCATTCTTGTCACAAGTATGATAAATCAATATTTTAGGAGTTAGACTACGCTTCTATTCTATTCCTTCCAAAGCATCATTAATATACTGGTCTGACCATGAATGTCTAGAAGTCTGCCAATTATTTTGACTTTTCAAGTGCAATGTGAAGTTGTCATTACTACACTGAAAGTTAACCGACTGTATTTCTCCTGTACCAACGTTCACAAAACGTTGTGCAAGTCATTTCACATCCATCATTCATAAAGAACATCATGCACAACTCTTGCTACTATTATTGTTATTTTGCGAATGAATATTTTTGAATAAATCATGATCTAGATGTACAGCGGAGTTTTGCACCTTTAGATGTACACCATCAGTACACGGCTAGTGTCACTTTCTATACTTTTTGGGTTTTGTATAAACTCGATCCACCAACTAATCCCAATCAGTATCATCTATTAACCCGTCAACCATCAAATGAACAGAAATCAATGACTTCATTTTGCTCCCGTCCTGTAACAACACTTCTTAGTGACTCCCAAGTCCGACTTTCTATTAACCTCGGCATTGATTGAATATATATCTTTCTACTTCTGTTCAGCAAACACGAGGTGCTATTTTATTTCTTTATTTACGCACAAGCTGACGTTTCGGCGGATTTCGCCTTCCTCAAAGCCTGGAAGGGTCAAGTTGACAGCAATCCACTAGACCAAACACCTCCATAACCAAACAGAGAAAACGCTAAACCAAGATTTCAATCACATTTAACATAGCTCTGCACATTCACCGCTTTCTATGAGTCTTCCACTGAGTATGTCGCGTGAAGACCGACCGCACAGAATTCACATGGAAGCGTAATGTGCGCTCCCCATCAGAATAATAGGTTTATATACTGTCTAATATCTTCTTCTGTCTTCTTAGTGAATTTCGCTCACTTGAAAGATACGAAGAACACCATTCCTTCCACATACGATTCTTCATTCCCATCCTTTGGCATGAATGTAGCACTCAGTAAGTTATATACTCCGTTCTGTCTTGTCTTGACATAGGCTTACTCTCAATAAAGTTTCTCGATGGAATTGCCAAACTCCTTACCTTGGGAGACTTTATGAAGGATGGACTGGCACTGTTTTAATATAAAATTCAAGAACACTCCCATCCATTGTGATTTCGATGAGGTTGTATAGCACTGGGACACTGGGGGTAGGAATGAAATCAATAATGAAACTT